ACGCAATGGATACAAGAGGTTTTAATGAATACAGAAGCTGTTTTGCTTGATGAGTTTTTGATTGTGTGAGCTCGAACAAGAAGTTCTTTTTTCTTCTTTAAAGAGAGATGGAATGCGCGCTCGTTGTGCTCTGCTAACAAAGTAGTGGCAGCTGAAGCACCTCTTAGCTGTGATTTTAAGTGTCGGCAAGGCTCGCGGTAGCTGTAGTAAGCATCGTTATCACAATCTGGACAATTAGACATACTTAATAGGGGTACGATATGCATTCGTACGATTTGCAGGGGCGCTAGGTCACCCCAGCGACATTCAGACACGAAGTTGAAGCGAAGACGCCAGGCTTTTAGCTGTAATATATCGAAAAGCTAACCTTAAAAATAGGGTTTGTATTGTGCTCTGCAGATGGATTGTCCATCCGTTTTTAAGCCTAGATAGAGCATGGTCGAAGCGTAAAACCACGCAAAAAAATGTAAAAAGAGGCAGGCATCGATTTGTTCTATCTGTGCTCGAATTACCAATTCAAAACAGCAAAAAGGGTCGATTTACAGGATTCCGATGTGGATTTGGTGATTGGTCGATACCGAGCGGTCGATTTGACTGTCGTAGCTCGACTTATCAACCAGTCTATTTGTACTGTTTATAGAGCTCGATTACATAAAACGACTTCTATTTATTATAAATCGATCGTCAGGCTAAGTGAAAAGGACAAGAGCATTGTAATGCACAATAAAACGAGCTTTTATAAATCGGTCATGAATGACCTGACGACCGAATAGAATATTTTTACAAAATAAAAATTCAATTTTTGTTCTTTCGAGCGTTTGATAGGACAAAATGAGCTGTGTTGGCCACATCAAAATCCAGGTTTTTGGCCTAGCTGCTACATTGCAGGGGATAAACGCTCAGATTTATTCTCTGGAACCGAAACTCTGGATAAAACATCCAAAAAATATTTACAAAAAGTATTCGTGAGCAAAAGCACAATGGGAGAAAACAAGCAGGAAGGCGGGAGGAAAGAGATAGAGGAACAGGAGGAGAGCAAACAGGAAGAGGAACAGGGGGAGAGTAAGCAAGAAGAAGAAGAAGTGCTACGGACGTTAGCTATAAAGGTGCCGAAGGTCGTGTGGAAGGTACTCAATCGGCTTCTTCCGGACGATTCGACTCTGTTTTCCGCGTCGCAGATAAAGATCGACGAATATCAACTACGGGTTTACCATGACAGCTTCTATTACATGACCACGTACTTGCAATATCAAATAGTACTCGCTTACAAGTTCGACGTTAGGAGTCAAATCAGCGGTATCGTGGCGAAGGTGCAGAAGATTCTGGATGATGAAGACAGGGTAGGAAGGATCAGGCACCTCCAACAAGCCTTTTCAACTCCCTATTTGGGAGACTCTGACGAAAGATTCCTTTTACTATTTAAAGCAATGATGTGACGAATACTACAAAAAAAACTGATGTTTACGCTGCCCCGTACGTGACGATCATGCAGAGTTCTGGCTTCGGAAAGAGCCGAGTCCTCTTTGAGGTTGCAAAAAAACTTACAGATACGAGTCAGATAGTACCGGAAAACGACAAGCTCGACGCCCGACTGCTGTACGTGTGTGCGCGGGACAATAACACTCCGAGCTTCCCGGCTGCAACTCCCAAGCTTGTTGATTTCCTATTCAGATGCGACGATATTAAGGGTCAGCTGGAGATAGCTCTTCAGTACACTTGTGATAATTGGGACTCGGCCAGTGACTGGCTTAAATTATTTGTTGATAGTTCTATCATACCACCGCCACGACAGATTTGGAGGGAAAAAAACACCGTCAAAGAAGTGGCAGCATGCGTCCGACAGTAGTAATAGTTCCTTGACTACCATGGACGAAACCATCGCTTTGGGTTTGATCCGCATGAAGAACGATACGACCAGCACGCACCGCCAGAGAAAAAAGCTAAACTTTCTACTGGACGAGTTGAACAAAACGAACGCGTAAAGGTTGTTGGACATTGATGTAAGAGCCAGCCAACGGGCAGGCGACCGGAAGCCAGACCCCCAAGGACCTTTACGCAAGTGTCGAGTCGACAATGTTGAAGGTAATACATTTTGACTTGGTTTCACTAGTGGGACCAATTAGATCGAGTGTAGGCGCGTGTCTTTTCAGGTTATTGTGTAGTGTGCATGTAGAATCCAACTAAAAACTCCTTTGAATATATTTCTCGCTTTCACTTCTACCTTCTGCCGAGCAAGTGCCAAACCAACCGGGTTTGAGCCCAATGGTCAACAACTCAGACGCAGACGCTGCTACGGAGGCAGTCCCGCCGCCCACGAAAGGGGCGAAGAGCATCACGAAGAGAAGGTCGCGCCGGACGCTGGAGCGCTTGCGGCTCTCATCACTAAGCTCACGGCCAAAGTGGACAGCTTAGAGCGGTCGCTGGAGACGCACCAGCAGCGTGCGGCTGTCACGCCACCCGGTGCGGGGGCTGGGCTGGGCCAGAGCGTGTACCGTCAGGCACTGCAGCACGGAGGCAGCTTGGGCATGCAGCGCATGCAGCTGCATGGGCTCGGCGCGTCGAACTTTGGCATGGGTGCGCAGACACCTGGGGTGTATGGTGGTCTTGGTCCTGGGCAACAAGCAGGAGGCACACCGTTCCAGGCCCAAGAAGCAGCTCAACAGGCGCCACCGCAGCAACAACCAGCTGCGCAGTACTAAGTACATCGACCTTCGCCGCTGCATCTTAACGAGAGAGTGCCGCCTGCCAAGGATGCGAAGCTCTATATGCGAAACTTCGACGGCAGCGAGGTCTACAAGGGACTTGGGAGCGGCTTTGAGCAGTGGGCGCTGCTGTTCATTGAGCAGATCGAGATGGCGGAGCGCTACAAGGTGAACAAGTTCGGCCAGCATCTACGTGGTAAAGCTGAGCTCTTCTTCCAGCAGCACATCATGCGCTGGTGGGCCACGCAGCCGACGCTCTGGTTTGTGATGGATCAGATGCACTTGTCGTTCAAGCGGGCGCTCTCGACTCAACAAGGAATGAAGCTCTTTGGCGCGAAGAAGGACCCGTCGCGATCGTGAAATGAGCACTTCTTGTACTTGAATGCTCTCATGATGGCAACGAACGCGTCACCAACGCTAGTGCTGGAGAACATCGTCAAGTTCGCGGATCCGGACTTGAGGCACGCCTTGATGGCCAAGTGTGACATCACGCGGCCGGATCCTCTCCAACAAGCGAACGAACTGGTCGTTTGAGCGCAGAAGATGACCGATGAAGATCGAGCGCCAAAGCATCTTGGTAAGGAAGTCGTGAACGCAGTGGTTGAGTCCTAAGAGGAAACGCGGCGATGCAACAAGTACAAGAAGATTGGACACCTGAAGAAGAACTGCCCAGATCGTTCCGCTGGAAGCAACAATGACCAGCCAGTAAAGTTCGCACTTGCCGCCGGTAACGACTTCAAGTCCGTGGACGCTACGAGCTGGATTCTAGGCAGCGGTGCCAGCCGACATCTTGTCAATGATCCTGCGCTACTGGCTAACGTAGTGCAGTGCTCTGATGAGGACACCTGCATGTTACCGGATGGTCGAACGATACGTAGCCAAGAAAGGATCGGTGATTTTGAGAGCTATTGTCGACAGAGTCGCGGCTGAGGTGGAGCTCAGTGAGGTCTACTACGCCCGGAGACTCGCGCAGATCCTGATTTCATACGGACAGCTGATAGCGAAGGGATGCTCTCTCACCAAGCGCAACGAAAAGTTAGTGTTGATGAAAAGCAACGAAGTGGTATTCTATGTCGACGTAAAGCACAACGTGCTTGTGGCTAGGCTTGAATCGGTAGCTACGAACAATGCTAAGATGGAGCAGCTGATCATGAGCGTGGTGGACACGAGTACGGACACAGCCTCGCCGGTCGTCGCCACGGACACGTTGATGGGCTTCCATGCACGTCCGCGATGGCCGTCGTCGTCGAGCCGTCCGTGGTCGTGATCGTCACTTCCTGCTTGCCGTCGATCACCGGGCCGTCCGTTGTCACTGTAGCGGGACCCGTAGGAGTCATCACGCTGACCGTCGTCGTCGTCGTCGTCGTCGTCGTGGCCGTGCCGTATTCACTCTCACGGACTGGAATCGGAATCCGTCGGGGGCTCTCACCAGGTCCCAGCGGGACTTCCACCCACAATGATCCGTCGGTGTACTCCAGCGCATCAGCAGTACGCTTCTCCGGCGAGCTGCCGTCATGCTTCAGAATCGTGATACTCTGCGTGCGTTCCGGTGTCACCGGGCCATTGAACAGCACCGTCCAAAATCCGGCGGCCGTGTCAATCTCGACAGATGGTAGCCCCTCCGTGCCCGTTTGGTGTTCAGTCGGGTAGCCGCCATAGCCGCTTCCTGTCGACGTCGAAGGAACCGTCACGGTCGTCGTGGTGCCGTCCGGGCCGGGGATCTCCAGCTCGTTCTTACCATTCGACGTTGGCGTCACGTCCGCGATGGCTGTCGTCGTCGAGCCGTCCGTGGTCGTGATCGTCACTTCCTGCTTGCCGTCGATCATCGGGCCATCGATAGTTACAGTCGCCAGTCCTTGCGGGGTCTCTACACTAACAGTTTGCTGTTCGCTGTTCTCTCTGGTTGGAATATTGTCTTCAGGAACAACAACGGTGGTCGTCTGACCACCAGGTGACGGGATTTCCAGCTTCTCCCCGCCCGTCGCTGTTTGCTCAACCTGGACAGTCGTAGTCACGACGCCACCTCCAGTCTCAATTTCCACCTTCTGCTGGCCGTCCACAGCAGGACCAACCAACGTGACCGTTTGCTGTCCACCTCCAGGAGTTGAGACCTCAATAGGTGCGCTCGTTGCCGCCTCCGTAGCAGTTGGTGGGGCTGGAACTTCAGGAACCATAGGAGCAGGAGGGACCGGAGCCTTCGTATCCGGAAACATGTTCATATACTTCTGAGGGATCTCAATCGGAGTCTCGAAGCAGTAGACCTCCAGCATGTAGTACAGTGAGTTTATCGTCTTGCGGTCAAACGTCAACGTCCTCTTCTTCGTCTATAACCACACCAACAAATGAGACCAAATATCCCAAAACTAATAGCTCTAAAGCACTAAATAACCTACCGGAACCATGGCCTTCTTGACGCAAGCCGAGTCGCTCGCGACCTTGTCGTCCAGCTCGTTATTCAAGTCCTGCTTGACGATGTCGGGAAGGTCGGAGTTTGCGATATCCACTCGGTCCTTGTCCCAAACCTCGTGTAGATCCTTCATATTCTCTGCGTAGGCCACAACGCCGTCTCCATCTCCGTCCAGTTCGTCGAAACTGGGGAAATACGGGTCGCCCATGGCCTCCACAAAGTCCGGAACCACCAAATTCGCTGCCATTTGCTGCATCGCCATCGTGCTCGACTGCGTTGACTGCAGCGTGGCAAAACCCACGCTCGCCGTCGCGCCGACCAACAGCATCGCTGCTCCTGCTATTGCCAGACGCTTTTTCTGTCGACGCCTGGCGTTGGGCCGGTCCGGAGCGGCCACCCGGCGAATGAAGTCGGTCTCTTCATTTTCGCTCCCATAATTTCGGGAAGACTTCATGCTGCTAGCACCTCGTACACTCGACTGGTGCTTAACTTATAAGCTGGTTCCTTGTACAAGGCAAATCAGGAAGTGACGATGGGCAAAGCCTTTGATCCTTTGACTCAAAAGATCGATGCTCGCTTACGGATCCATTGCGAACAGTCTCTGCTTGGACGCTCTGAGCCGCAGATTGACGATCTTGACAGCTAGAGACGCACATTGAGATCCAGATCTGGAATTGTCGAGGGCTCGTCGTGTTATTGAACCGTCACCTCTGGCTGGCCGCACATTTCGACTAAAAGGAAAGACAAAATACGAATTTTCAATAAATAGACACGTGTAATCTAAGCTATCAGCTGTACATGTAGTTAGTACACACGGAATACAAAACGGCCATGCAACCTCAAGTAGCAACTGAAACGCATATTATTCAGTAAATTTCGAATCGATCTTTAGGTAGGTTAGGTTTACATCACTTAAAAATCGCAAGAAGGGTTAGGTTTATTTTTGCCCATCTTACAGAGCTCGGGAGCCCCGATAAAATTAGGCTATATACACCGTTCACTCTAATTTATCGTGCTTAAAAATTAGTCATAAATCGTACTTATTTAAGAAACTATTGTACAATTACCATATATAGTCATGCACCAGTATTAATCGTCCCCAGCCCACGGCGCCAACTAATCCCCGGCAAATTGTCGTCGGACATCGACAGCCCCAACTTATCAGAGTGCTCACTTTCCGAATTAGGATGAATGACACAGAGACACGATCACTGCAGCATGTTGTCGGGGTAGCGGTTCGGGCTCGCTGCGTAGCTTGGATGGAGGACAACGCTGTCGAGGATGGGGAGAAGGGTCTCTACGGTCGTACGGTCGACCAGCTCCCGTTCCTCTTCCGGGCCACCGACCGCCGCGTCAACCTTAACAAGGCGCGAGACTGGTGGGCGAAGCGCGCGGCCCTTCAAGCTGCACTGGACGACGACCAGCAGCGCAAGTATGCGAGGACGACGAGAGGCGGATGATACCAGTTTATGCACAAGGCTCTGGTCGGTCGTGGGCGCAGGATCGATGGACACTGGGCCTGGCTCTATCCGTTCTTACTTGCAGAGTTTGAGCGGTTGCGTCGAGAGGATATAATGCTTTCTTCCCGGCTCTTGATGGACATGGCAATGACCATGATCAAAGACAGCAAGCGCGCTGTATACAGCTCCGCGTACTGCTTTAGTGGAAAGAACTTCAGTACACTGATCACGCCTCGACGTATCCAGGATTTCACCGATTGGCTCAATATCGTGTACTGAAAGCTGAAAGGGAAGAAGCAGGTTAGTGAACAAAACATGACACAGATTGAACAGCCTATAGCGTCACGCCTTGGCATGCTGAAATGCGAATTTGATGACGGACGGCTTGACCCTGATCAGCAGCACAACATGGACGAATCACATTTTGTCATAGATCTGGATGATGGTAAGACACTGGACTTCCGCGGTGCCGACGGCGTAAAATACCGTAGTATTGTATCAAATACCATATTTTGCAATTTTTTAACCAAATATTTTTTTTTGCTGCACCAGTACAGTCTACTGACAGAAGTTAACTTATGTGAGTTGGTCGAAAAGGAATTGCAATGTGCGTGCTATTGTTTTAGTCAGTCAGAACTTGGGATTACGGCTTCTGATAGATCATTTTGTGCCGACTGGCGAAACCGAGTTGTAAATATCGCGAGAGCGAGTATCGTTTTCGGCCAGCATAGTGTCATATTTGCGGTTCGGAGGTAGCCGCATGAAACACAGGGGACAAACGTGTTGTAAACAAGGCTAGCAGATCCTAAAACCTATCATGAAAATTTGGTCGATGCCTCAGCCCCAGAGCCACCAATCGTGCTGGTATCAACTATCGTACTCCTTGGTTACATGCATGTCTTCTCTCTCAGTATGTTTTGCTATGCGGGCCAACTTCACCGCTGCATAAGACAGACGAATTGTAACGCTTGCACTCGAGTATGAATCCCAACACAAGCGAGTAGAGTAGAAGGGGGTAGCGCGGGCCATGAGAAGTAAACATTCTGTCCAAGCGCTTGAGAGCCGGCTGCTCTGAAGCGCACGTATGAACGTGATCTATCAAGATTTCCGCAGTGGTTTTCTCCACGTCGACGCCAACAATCTCTCCCAAGCAGCATCTTCGTCTTCTGGAACCAAACCAAGCAAAAGGAGCTATCCGCGATATCTTCAGCAGCGTTTCAGCCGCGGACTTTCGTCAACAAGCTGGAAAGACGGATGTTCGTTGTTTTCAAGCGCATGCACTAAGGCTGCTACTACTCCACAAAGTCTATTTGAGTCAAAGAGACGTTCTTGATATGCCACTTTCGTCGCGTTTACCATTTCAGCGTGCATCAATAGTTTTTCTAAACCATTTTCTGCTTGACGAATTAGCAAAGCTGACCGTACCAGAGCAGCTGTATATGATGCCGGGTGTACGTTTGATGGTTCCTATGTTTCGCTGTTGTCCTCGTCATCGCGATTCTTGCCGAAGAAGATTTTGCTCCAAGTGGAGGCTCGCGAAAACCACGTATGGACGGGGTAGCTGGAAATCTTCTCCAATCCCGATCTACATGTACATGACTGTCCGGTGACTGGAGATTATAGTGCGTTGAGGCTGAGACAGTCATTGAGGCAAATATCACGGGGACAAGGCAGACAAGTGGTCGAAGACGAGCGAGGACGTGCCTTTTTTCACACTGTCGGGGAAGTTCAACAAGGCACTGGACAACAAGGGCAAGGACATTTTCCTGTCGTACCTGGCCTACAACGAGAAGACGGTGGCCCATGGCAGCTCGTTCGTGAAGCCGATTTTCGTGAACGTGGGCAACGCGTATGTAAAGCTGCCACCCGCGGGCGTGGACCACGCGTACACCAAACTGCAGATCCGAGCACGCCAGCGACTTGTTTAGTCGGCGTCGAGTGAGATCGCCGTCGAGCTTCAGATCTGGATTGCGACAAAGCCCGCCGCATGTCTTCCTCCGAATCACCGTCGGCGATTCGGGCCTCCTCGGAATCCTCAGGATCTTCATCATCATCGTCATCATTATCGTCAGCACTGAACGAGTAATGGGCCTCATTGAGGGTACGCTTCGAAGACGAACGGATAGGAGGCCCCGAGCCGCTGGACCAATCGTATCCTTCTTCCGCGTTGTCTCTCGAGCTGCCGAGACCACTGCCGGTGGGAATGGTACGCTTGGCCTTCGCCTTACCGGATCCAGATCCCACCGGTCGCGATCCAGTGGAGGCTGGTCGGGGGACGGTAGACACCGTCACGGATGGTCCAGCAGTGAATCCCGACTGAGCCGAACCGAAATGGCCGTGAATGATGCTGGTCCCGTCATAGAAGAAGCAATTGCCGAAGATCCAGTCGACGAAGCCACCTGGGATGACGTCGCGATAGTAGATCCAGTTTTGGAGCCAGATTCGGATTCCGACGTCGCAGCAGCGGATCCAGTTTTGGAGACGGATCCGACTTTGACGCCGCAGCAGCAGGTCCAAGCTTGGAGCCAGATCCAGATTTGACGCCGCAGCCGCAGGTTTGATAGTGGCTCCGGATGTGGACCCAGATCCAGACTTCGAGGACGGAACCGAGGACTTGGATGCAGATCCGGACTTAGATCTAGATTTCGTTCGCACGGCCGCAAAAGGTACCTGTTTCGATGTTGGAGCGCTGGATCCGGCCTTGGGAGCCACCTTGGCAGTCGGAACTGTGGGATCCGCAATCCCGGTCGACAGTGATGATGGATCGGGCAGTGACGATGGAGAGGGGCCTTCCACCGGTGGCGGATCCACTGGATCTGCCTTGGTCTCCGCCCATCCCAAATCTTCCCTACCAGGCGTGCTTGCCGTGGATCCGTCCGGTCCGGATGCCACCTTCATCCCTGGTCGGCTGGCGCCTGTGGCCTTCACCGCAGACGCTGTCGAGCCTTGGCCCGCAAAGATGTTGAACCGGGTCACCGTCGCTACTATATAAATCACCATCCTGTTCTCTGAGTTGCCGCTTCGTACTGAGTGGATCTTCCCTCGCACATCGGCGGCGAGCCGCCGTAGGTGGTCACGTTCGAGCTGATCATCTGCGGCAGCACCCAGCGCCTGCACTCGCTCGTGCTCAGGACGGTCAGCACGCACGGGTTCAAGACCGACAGCAAGAGCGTCAATGAATGAGCGCTGGTCAAGCAAGGTCCGGCCCTTCCTACTGGAGCAGCAGGCCAAGCACCTCAACTAGCTCGAGGCCAAGGACAGGGTGGACGCCAATCACGCCCTAGGCGGCAGGCCAAGAGCCCCGCGGACTACGGCGACACCCCAAGATCTCGGACCCGGTCGATGAGAAGCCCGATAACGAGGGGGGGGGCGCCATGATCGAGAATCTCGAGTACAAGAGCGAGTGGAAGCTCAGGCTGGCGGACGGATTGGAGTGCAAGTGCGAGTGGGTGCACCCGCTCATCGACAACCCGGCCTTCGGCGCCGATGACGCCATGTACATCGTGGCCAAGAACGTGGGTGTTATCGGCTTGTAGCTGTGACAGATCATGAGCGGCACCATGTTCGACGACAGCCTGGTCACGGACAGCGAGAACAACTTCAAGGCCCACGCCACGACGATACCATTGGGAAGCGAAATGCCAAAGCAATTGGCATAATACAGAGTATCTAGAACAGAGACAACGGCGGCAATAGTTTAGTTAAGATATTTCACGTTTACGCAAATTTTTGCCGTGTGACTCTACTCTGACGGCTCGGTGGGCTCTGCTGAGCTTGTTATCTGCTTTCACTTTGTTGCCCTGGTGATCAGAGCTAATACAGAGTGTCTAGAACAGAGACAACGGCGGTTATAGTTTGTTAAAGAAAAAATCATGTTTACTCGAAAGTTTGATGTGCGACTCTAGAAATACAGAGTACATAGAACAGAGACAACGGCGGCCGTATTTTAATCAAAATATATTCACGTTGCTCGAAAAATTGTCGTGCGACTGTA